CGGCGCTCCGGACAGCTTCGCTTTCTATTAACCGACAAATTAAATTACGCCGGAAACCCGCGGTTATTGCTTTTTTAACTAATGCTCGCCTCCTCCTCTCCCTCCCCTCCTCCTCCCTGACCCGGTCTCATTGATTCCCTCGGACAACAATCGAATCAATTATAATCTATTTATTGCACATCCACTGCTCGCTCCGTGCACTGGCCTCTGCGGGACTTTATCTCCTCTTCCTCGAGATTCCGCCTCGGTCAGGCGAGTGACATTTTCATCATGTTAACCTCCATTTTCACTGTCAAAACACATACTTAAAATGAGTGCAATAGACGCTATTAGTGGCGCGTCATCATAGGGATTCTCCATAATATCGAATTGGATCCAAACAATAACATTGACATAACCTCTTACAATGCTACCAATGCGAAAAAATCTGTATATAAGTCGCTTTTCTGTGATGTGCGTCTATGTGCATCCGTTTCAAGTTCTACCAAGTAGTCAAATCGGTCATTTTCAGGTGAATGGTCAAATATCCTCGCTCAAAATGAATTTGAATTTTTGTTTTGTTTAATATAGACTGTATTGCGCTTTGAAATAATAGAGAAGAATTCTCATAAGTAAATACCTCATAGTAAATTCTCATAAATAAGAAACCATTTAAAGGGCGTTGCAATGGTTCTCTGCGCTTAAATGAACGTTTACATCAACACTTGGCAATGATTGCACATTTGGTTGGGTTCCTGCCTGACCGGCAACTAAACCAACTTTGCGGCAATGCCTGGCGTATCACGCAATACTGAAGGCGCGTCGAGGCGGAATTGCGCTGCACTGCGTAGGCTGTCGCGTGAGAAACGATACGCGGCCGAGAAGTTTCAGCTGATCGTTAGTAATCACCGATTTATCTTCACAGAAGGACGGACACCCTGTGAAAACTTGGTGTCATAATGTTAATTTTATTTCTTCCCTCTAAGAAAAAAATAAAAAAGCGGGCGCGGGAATTTTGAATCGTTGCAGTCGAGATACGCGCTTGTTGAGCTGAGCCGTCGAAATGAATGACGACGGCGATTCGACGGGAGTTCTGCCGTGGTAAGGAAGAACGCCGTATAAACATTCGAGGGTTGCCAAATTTTCCTTGATAAAAAATGTATTTTTGACGACATTCATACACATTTTTCTTTGAAATTTTCAGATGTTTAAGATTGAATTGAGTACAAAATTGTCCAAAAATTTTGGGGAAAAAATATTCGCAATTTTCCCAGTAAATTCAGTTTTTATCGAAGGAAACTTGGCAACGTCTGAAAGTTCATACGGCGTTCTTCCTTAGCACGGCAGAGTTCCAGACCGCCGGTTTAGCCGAGAGTGAGTCCGTTTGCGCCAGGATAATGACATCTTATTTATCCGATTGTAGGCTACAAAGAAGGGGGGGGGGGGGTGTACTCATAACCAAGTCGGTGACATGGCGCAGCGCGCAATATTTAGAACCTCTGTCGTCCAAGACACGGATACGCTTGTCACCGTGTGATACAGACCCTGAACGCTGCGTTGCCACGTTGGCAAATCAAAGGCAACCGCTTTTGTGGGATTTGCGGTTAAGTTAGCGGCCGTCCATAAATTGAGGCGTTTTTCGGTAAAGGGGCGCGTGAGATTTCCAATTGGACTTCATTTTGCAATAAGGAACTATAATTTCTGGCCCATACATAAAAACACTAATGCATACAGGAGAACTAATGGTACATACGTTGTTTCTAAAATGAGCCAGAAATTGTAGTTCCTCGTTGCAAAATGCAGTCCAATTCTGCTATGCTTGTGCAACGTAGTTCTCTAGTTGTAAGTAACTTATCTGACTGTTCTGCAAAGAATTTTTCTCTGAATCTGCTCTTAGTTTTTCTTCACTGTTGTAAGGAAGTAGGTGACTGTACAAATTTATTTCATCTGCCGAAAACGTTATAAAAAATTGCACTATCTTAGCAGCATTGCAAGCCTCATACGCCATTTTGCCGTAAAATGCGTCAATTGTCCATAAAATGTATTGGGTTTTTCGAACTGTCTCGCAGCCGCCCTAAAGACGCAATAAGGTCCTGAGAAGCGAAGACCTCATAAATCCAGAATGGACTTTTCAAGTACAGCTGAGTCATAAGCCGGGAGTGTGGCGTCTGAGTGGTTAGTTCGTCTGATAAGGGCTTGTTTCGCTCTAATGTATAATGGAGGATTTAATTGATGTTATCAAATGCTTAGCATCTTTTCCTCGTGGTTTATTCGGAGCAAGGGAGGCAGCACAATGAACCTAAACTTTGATGTCATTGCAGTGGTGTCAGTAGCCATGTTTATACGGACGAGCAACTCGTCAACTTTGAAATGGGGGGGGGGGGGACTTTTTTTTGGATGTGCAAGTATCGTAAATCCGCCGAAGTGTTACCTGCTTTCCCTCGGTGTATTCTCTTCCACCCCCCATTCTTCTTCAGTACAATATTGGTTTTCGGAGTATCGACTTCTGAAAATTTCCTGTAACTTAATCTTGAATCGCACCATTTTACGCTTCAAATGATGACCGGCATCAAGAACCGATCCGAGGGAGCAGGGTAGGGACTGAAGTGCGAGCAGTGGCGTGGCGTGCTTTGCGATATATCGATTGTCATGCCACTTAAACCTATTGAAAAGGATCGATAAACAGGGTGTTCGCAGCGAACACCTTAATAATCGATTCTTTACCGTAGGTTTAAATGGCATAGCAATCGATATATCGCAATTCACGCCACGCCACTGAGTGCGAGGAGGGGAGGGAGGTTTTTTGGCAGCATCACATTGATCCGACCAGAGATCTCGGACAAGCTCCTTGAATTCGACACGCAAAGAATGCGTAAAAACCAACATAAATTTACGAGAGACGAAAGAAATGAAGATATAATGAATAATGAATGACTGAAATACTCACATGTCGCTCGTCCGCGGAGTTGAGACCTGCGAAAAAGAAACAAAACGGGTATTTAAATGTGTGCAATAAACTCCGAGCCTCCGCTCAAATTAAGCGCCAATAAAAAAAAAAATAAAAAAAACAAGCCATCAAACAAAGAAACAATAAATCGGCCATAAAAACCCGGTGTTCCTCTCGAGTCCACGTGAGGAATTGTTCACGACAAAATTCTTCGATTCCAGCGCGGCTGGGATAAGAAACTCTATCCACGATTCCACGGTCCTCCTACGGTGAGAGCTGAGCCGTTTATTTCCAAAAAGACTTGAGCGACGAATTCTTTGAGCCTTGGTAATCCTCGTCTTCCCGATTCCGAAGCTCATAGTTTTCGGCGCTTGGGCCTTTTAAAAGCAAACGGTTCAATTACGGACTCCTCAGATCCAACTTCCTTGACTAAGGACTGTTCGAGGACTCTTGCAGGATGGACTAAACTCGGGAAACTTGTGCGAAAACAACCCGTACTCAAGCTTGCAGTTCTGTTTGCTTTCACTTGAAAATAAAGCTCTCTTAATTGCAAGTTCTAAGCTCCACTTGCATGGAGCCCCTTTATAGGGAGAGTTAAGACAAGTCGGCTCATGGATGTCACAAACCGGACTGAAGATTACACATATTGAATGTTTTTCGGAATCTTTGATCGACTCATTCCCGAATTCCTCTCCTCCGTTCTCTCTCTCTCCCCGGTCTATTCCAGTTCATAATTTTTGAAATTGGTGAGAATGTAATCTTTATTTGCTCCGGTTTTTGACACTATGAAGGCCTAACATATATACGCGAGCCAATCAGAAATCGATTCCTCGTGTCTACGTACAGAGACGCTGTGGCTGTCGTGACCTCTCCTCTTCAAAAAGTGACCAGAAATTGTGAAAATTCTGCTGCGCGTGTTGAAAAACAGGAGATCACAAGAATTTAAACTTTGATCTGCCACTCAGAAAAAATAAACGAGGGAGACTTTACTTCGCTCGAGAGATTTGAAGATTCTCGTATACCTACAATATTATCAGTAGCGTGACGTGAATTGCGATGTATCGATTGCTATGTCATTAAACCTACGGTAAAGAATCGATTATTAAGGTGTTCGATACGAACGCCCTGTTTATTGATCATTTTCCGTAGGTTTAAATGCCATAACAATCGATACATCGCAATTCACGCCACGCCACTGAATGTTATGAGAACTTGTTCGAAATACAGTGCAGTTGCAATGGACCACTGGACAAGGTGCAAATGTCAGCATTCTCGAACAGGCGTCCTTGTCGCAATTTCGCGTGGAACGTGATTAATGCAACGTAAGTTACTGAAATCAACCCCAAACTAGGATATTTAAGGTTTTTCAACGCGTATATTCAAAACTCCCTTTCATGAAAAACCAGTAGTCTACGAGCGTTAAATCGCGCACTAAACGTTTCCGTGATAACGATTAACGGTCCTTGCGGCATGAAAATAAAACAACCTCAATATCGCGCTTCGGTTAAGCTACCGCACGGTGTTTACACTTTGAACAACACAGCGGGCCGATTATTGAAATTGATAGACAAAGCTATAGACAAAGAAGACATAGAAGGTATAAAGCAATCCTATTGGTTGAAATGGGTGGTTCTCATAGACTAAGGGGGAAAATGATAGACTAACTGTCGGGTCTCTCGTGGGTTGCCGTTAGTTAGTCTATTACCTACCTCCTTTGTCCATTGCAACCACCCGCTTCTACCAATAGGATCCCTCCTAACCCTTTTTGTCTTCTTTGTCTATTGCTTTGTCTATCAATTTCAATAATCAGCCCGCTCAGGGCAGGGAAGGAACACTGATCGATTAAGAAGCCTGCCAAGACCACTGCATTGTGCGATTTGATTTAAGTGGACTATTGTTTTTTCAGTGAGCGGGAACTCGAAAGTCCCGCAACCAATACACACTGAAAACTTTCACATCGTAGTTGAGTGATGATTTCAACAATTTCGTTGCGATTAATCGTGATCCATGTGACATCTGGGTGTCTACTGAAACAGGCTGGCCGAAAATCAGTACTTTTACAGTGCTTTTCCAGTACATTCCCAAGAAATTCAGTACCTCCTTGACAGAAAAATTCGAGTACTTTTTCAATACATTCAACTGACGAAATTCGAAAAATTTGAATTTCCCGCTCAAATTTCGACAAAAATGAAAAAAATTCCGTACTTTCTTGCAAAATTTCCGCTTTCTTGCAGTACTTCCGGACCGCCCTGGAAAAAGCAGTACTATTTCCGGACTTTCCGGAAATTCCGGACTTGTAGACACCCTGGACATTTTGAATATGCTTAAATTTGCTCTGTGTCTAGTGGTCCATTCGAAAAGATGATAGACAGAGGCTAATAAATCGAACTACAAATGCGCCACTACTGTGACAAATCTAGGCAAAAATCCATATTTTTTATGTGTCGACACGTCCGTCGCGTTGAACGGCACGAACCAATCCGCAGTTGTTGAACGGCGGGAAGGGGTGTTGAGATTTAACGCAAAAGGACGTGTGCACAGGGGAAGGGGGAGGNGGGGGGCCAAAGGGGGAGGGAGGTTGTCTAGCGAGCCGCAACTGCTAACATGGTGTTTAATAATCTAACCCATGTTGCAGTTGCGCCGGGCATGTTCCCCAACTCGTAACACATCCAACGATCGTTTAGTTTTTCCGGTCGGACGGGAAGCGGCGAGGGGGGTGGGGGTGACGGTAGAGACATGCGGATATTTTACGGCTTGGCATGCCGTCTCGTGATTAAGTTTTTCTGTTTTCGACTCGAGCGCCGAGATTATCGACTCGGCGGTTTGCGTGCGGAATCGACCGCGGTGGTGGGAGGGGAAACCCTGCGGGGGTAACGCAAAAATAAATAATTACGCGAGGGAAAAGCGACGACGATAACAAAAGAAAACGAGTCGGGTGAAAAAGTTACAGCTTTCAGCCGTGGTGATGCTTCGAAGTTCATATTTCCGACAAGTTCTAATTCCTCGATGTGAAGCTGCCGTTTTAACATATTCGCACGATGGCCGCTTAAAAAACATAGAAACTAATTGGTCTGAGAGAATGCTTCTCGATGGCTAGTATCGACTAGAAAAACTCGTGCGTCAATTCTGCCGTGCTAAGGAAGAACGCCGTATGAGCCGGCGCAACGTCGCTTGATAGAATTTGTATTTTTGAGAACAGTCGTGCATATTTTTCCTTGAAATTTTCAGATATTTTGGATTAAATAGCGCACAAATTTGTCTGAAAATTTTGGAAAATAATATTCGCACTTTTACCAGTAAATTCGCTTTTTATCGGAGGAAACTTGGCAACATCTGAAGGCTCAAACTGCGTTTTTCCTTAGCACGGCAGAATTGGAGTGAATATATTGCAAGAAGGAACTATTTTTTCTGACTCATACATAAAAGCACAAAGTGTTACTTAATTCTTCTTTTTTTTAGTTTGATTATATACTCAAAGCGCCTTATTTTCGTGCGCTGATGAACGACACACGAATGCGACGAGTAACACACTTATTTATCTTAAGCGGAAAAAATTGAAGGCGCTCCGCCTTTTCCATAGGCTAAGTAAGGATGCAACTATTCGTGTTCTCTCTATGTCCGGGTTGCATACACAAAAAATCGCAGGCGCTCTGGCTTTCTTGAGCACGCAGCGTACGAGTGGCTAGCTGTTAGTTCTCTAGGGTTTTCTACGTTGCATTTACAATCGTGTTCACCTTTTTCTTGAAATCAAGCACTTTTATATGGAGCGATAACATTTTCACAATTTTACCAGTAAATTCGGTTTTATCGGAGGGAACTTGTCAACGCCGAAGGCTCATACGGCGTTTTTCCTTTGCATGACAGACTGGTGCTCAATAATTTCCATTCATTCTTACGGCCCTCAAATAACGAGCACATTCCTCCACTCGTTTCTCCTTCCTTCAGCATAAATACGTCCATTTCATGACCGACCGCTTTCAAAGGATGGACAGAAGCCCACTAAAAGAAAAAAAACCACATTGGATCTAGAGTCCAGACTCTTGAAAACATTGACAAGAAAAAATACTCTTGATTCAATCGGATTTTTGCTTGAATCAAAATGAAATCCGCTTAAATTAAGAGCCTTGGTTTTTGATTTAAGCTGGATTCTGATTGAATCAAGAGTACTTTTTCTTGTCGATATTTTTAAGAGTCTGCACTCTAGATCCAATGTGTTTTTTTTCCAGTGCCTGTTTTGGATAGAAGTGTAAATTTGTCTGGAATTGTGACTTACCGCTGGGCGCTTTCTCCTCGCGGTGGAGTTCGGACTTGGCGGCGAGCATGCTGAGGGGGTGGGCTGCCGGTCCGGGCAGGGCCCCGGAGAGGCCGAGGAGGCTGGCCGCCGTGGCCGGGGGCCCCGGGAGGCCCGGGTGAGGCATCATCGGCAGTGGTGGCGGGTGCGCCGTGTGAGGTAACTGCTGCGCGTGCATTTGTTGCTGCAATCAAACCAGAAACAACGGAGTCAGTAGGTACCATCAGGTTTCCTAGACCTTCGAGGTTGTTCACGGACAAAATTCCCCAAGCGTGGCGATGAAGCACTTTCCTAAATATTTTTGAAATGTTCAAATAATTAAGATCCGATCGCGAATAAAATTCTCTAGAAAATCCTGATGCTAGACACCCTGCTGTTGCGGCATTTTTTCTTAGTACGGCAATATAGATGGTCGTGGGATCTTAACGTAATACTGGCCAGTTAAAGAGCTGGGGGGAAAAAATTTCACAGAATTTCCGTATTCTTTTAGTACGACAGACACCCTGCTCACAGTGGTGCTCCTATAACCTGTCACTAGGGCGAAGGGAGCGTCGCGTCGGGATGACCGCGGGATATTTCACGCGAAGCCGGCGACAGGGGCGTCGGGGATATCCGCGTGTAAGACACCATCGAGGGGCCAGAAGGGACGGGGGGGGCGAGGGGCGGTGGTGAGTAGTGGTAAGAGGAATAAGAGGATTGTGCAAATGGCATTTAATAACTTGGAGCCGCGCCACCCAGTTCCCGACGCCCGGTTTATCTGCGAGTCAACCGTAAAAGCGTCAAAAGCTTCCCGAGCTCCTGCAAACTACACCCCCTTTCGCCCTCCCCACCCCCGCGTCCCTCCCGCTCCGGCCGCTCAAAGGACCCGTCATCCGTGCAAAGGCAGTTGCTCGGAAAGTACACTGGTGCACGACTCATCTTGAACGTTTCATGGAAATTGAGTTCTAATACAGGGTGATCTAGAGTCCCTTTATACTGAGAGTCAAGACAACACCCCCTCATGGAGTCACGAACGGGAATGAAGATTACACAAATTGAACGTTTTTCGTAATCTTTGATCGGCCCATTCTCGAATTCTTTTCTCCGTTCCTTCCCTCATTCCGTTTGTTCCTTGTCGAACCCGTAATTCCTCGGTCCATTCCAGATTATAATCTTTGCAATTGGGGAAAATGTAATCTTTATTCCCGTTTTTGACACTGTGGAGGCCTAAAATACGGCAACCAATCAGAAATGGATTCACATTGTCTTGACTCTCAGTATAAAGGGACTCTAGTGCACGACTGATCTTGAACGTTTCATGGAAATTGAGTTCTAATACAGGGTGATCCAGGCTTATGCCGTCAGACTGCAGGGTAGGGGAATGTTGTATGGATTGAAATAAGGCTTTATTCGGCCACGATTTTCCCCCAAAAAGTGCTTTTTAAGGGGGCTGCAGCCCTCCCCCGAAGTTTTCCCAAAATCGTTTTTCCAGCATTTTGGCAACGGTACTTATGCACTGAATCTCATGAACATCTCTTATGAATTAATATGCATTCATAATTTGACTCGTAAATTCATCAATTAAATTGGAACAATCGGAATGCCGTTGAAAACCCGGAATCGGGTTTCAAGGGGTCCGCAAAATACCACCTTTATACGTCAAAACTAAGTTATTGGCTTTTTTAGTTTAAGACCTTCCGAGACCTCGGTATAAACTCAGATTTCGATTTTTCTGTCACTGACGAATTCAGCGTAGCAAGAACGATTTTTTCATCTTTCATCTAATTCTTCGCAGCCGGAAATTCAGCGTACTCTTTGCGGACGGTCAGTATGTTACTATATCTCAGAGCGTAAGAAGGGAAAGTTCACTAGGTTTGAGACTAATTCCCCAAGTTTTCTGCCTAGTTTTCTTTGCTCACTGAATGTTATTGATTCCTGATTCTCGGTTTTTCCAAGAGACGCCATTGTGAAGGAATAAGGGTAAGAAGCTGTCCTGACACAGATGACAAGTTTTCTTGGATTTCGCAAATCCCTGACTTCTCAGGAGTCAGCTTATAAAATCTCAACACCTTTCAAACTTGGGTAGCATGATTTCTCCTAAAAACTCGTCTTACGAAAGATTTTAAGAGTGAAATGGAGATTTTGCATTTTAATTCAAGGAGTTAAATTGAAAAGATGAAAAGTTTTGCCAAAAGGAAAAATTTCGAAGCTCCGTGACCAAATTCGCAGAATTTTCTGGGTTTTCCTTGACTTTTCAAGAGCTTGTCCCCTGTAATATAGTGGCAAACCTGTCAACGCCCCGGTTTGGACATTTCTCCCTCCTTTCTCCCCATCCCTCGACCAAACTATTTCATACATTCTATTCTATTTAGCTTGGAGGTTCCTGACATGTGACTGTGGCAGCGGAACTTTTATTTTGCCGTCTGGAGTGAATTGGAGAAGCACGAAACTTCGACACGCCACCGAGGACACGCGAGCACAGGCGGCGCAAAGTGAACACCGATCCCACTTCTCTCCGCCAGGGGCAAGAAATATAATAAATGTTAAAATTTTACCTTGATATTCGATTGTGAAGTGGGTAACGCAGTTTCCAGAGGTGTTTTTTTTTTTTTTGTCATTATTTCTCATGGAAATTTTGTTCACAAATGTCTTGAGAGCTAGGTCTCTTGACATTGAAAAATGCATCGTTTTAGGTAGAGCAAAAAATTTGCAGAATTTTTAGGGTTGAGCAAGAGTACCTGACTTTTCAGGGGCAGAAACTCTTGACGATCCCATGTATTCCATAACTTTTTTAGAGCTTGTCATCAAGCAATATGATCTCGAACAGAAAGATAAACAATTCCCAAGCTACAACAGCGAATTCCTGACTAAATACCTAAGTTACAAAATTTTAGTTATTAAAAGTCCCAGAAACCATTAAGAAAACCAATTTCCCTATATTTGCCCAATTTTCTCTCGTCGTTTTATTTTCCGGCACATCACATTCTACAGCTACCTCTCTGTGCGGCGAGAAGATAGCGATGAAAAGCTCAACTTTCCCGACGAGAGGGGCGTCAAAGGGAGTGAAGGGGGGGGGGCTGCACACGTTGGAGCTACCGCGGGGCTAATTAGGGGGCGGCGGCGGGGGCCGAGGAATGTTGGAGGCGCGCCCTCTGGGTTTCACTTCATAATTGCTCCCCGCGGGGTTGAGGCTTCGGCGGAATCATCCCCCTCACCCCCGGGGGGTGAGAATGTGTGTGTTACGGTAAATGAATTCGTGCCGATTTTCGAGCGAGACTCTCAAACTATGCGACCACCGCAGGTAGGAGTTGCAAACTCGGACGACTGTTTGATGGGTTGGTCCTACTGGTTGAGAAATAATTATTATAAAAAAAAAAGAAAAAACAATAATTCACATAGTAGGTAAACATAGAACTCGATACAATTCGGTTACATCAAATAAACATTCGTCATCGTTGCAAATGTGTGTTTTATCCTTAAAATGCCCATTTTTCCGAACTTTTAAGGAGAAAAAATAAATTTAAAAATTACAAACAAGAACGAAAACGGTGCAAGTTAGTGAACATATCACTAAAAAAAGTTCTTGGCGCAAGCATGATGATTCTTGAATTTGCCGCCAAGAGTTTTCTTCATATTGATTCAAGCTGAATTTCTCGAAGAACAATAGGGAAAATCCATGAAAGAGCAAAAAAGTAGCTTATAGCATCATTCTTCATCCAAGAAAAAATATTTCTTGCCGGCGAATTTGGGATTTTTTTTTTTTCAGTACATACATGAAGATTGAGTCCTTCCAGTTACTTTGTTTACTTTAAATTACTTTAAATTATTTGCTTTTCCGGCTCGATAAAAAAATATTAAAATAGGTATCGATCGGATAGGAATGGTCAGCAGCGTTTAAATAAGCGTTATCAATTTCTCACCGATAAAATGAAAATTAATAGCAAATCGTCGAGTTAATGAGTGGTCTAAAACTATCGTTGATCTAATTAGGGAGTTGATTAGCAAATCATTTAAGAAATTTGAAAATAGGAGACTGAATGAAAGGTGGAGGCATCGTGACTTTGTGAGTAGCTTTGCGACTGAGTTCCATTCGCACGGGACGTGCCAGGAACAGAGAAAATAATTTAGACCCCGAAACTTTCGATCGAAGCTACGTGGTCACAATTCAGGCAAAAGTTAAATTCGAAAATCAACATTATTTTCCGCATGAAGATGAGTAACTCCTCAAGCATTATATTGACCCGATGATGAATAGTTTTCTTCGCTTGCCAGGTCGCCAAACATTTTGGCAATTAAAGATCATCATTCAGCGTAGCATAGGCATTGCTTTCCGCAAATAACTTTTACCTTATACTGCAGAAGGCAAAATACGAGGTCTCTATGACACATTGGCTCTAGAGGCAACATATTTTAGAGATCCCGCACTGATGTCTTCCCTTTAATGATAAAGTTATACTTCCGGAAGGTAACGTTCGGATTCGCTTAATGATGACCGGTGAACAAAAAGATGGGCTACTGGTTTAACGAACTTAACCTAATTTGCAAAAACTCGCCTAGCAAAGTGTTTTCCTCGCCATTCATAAATCAAGCATTAATACATAGTGTATTTATTGTACAGAATGCTCATCAATCCTCATAACGCGAATAATTGCGTTGACTTTCGAATTTAAATTTTGCCTCATTCGATTACATAGCTTAGTTGTTAGTAACCTAAAAACTGGATGGAACGTGGGCATGGACTACCGATAATTAAGCCCACTCAGTAGCTCGATGTTAAAAGTGGAAAAGGCAGGCGAGCTGCGGATACTAACCAATAGTCGCGGCAGGTCTGGGCGTTGTTGCTGAAAAAGAAAAAAAAGAAAGACAAATAAAAATAAAGGAAAGAAAATAACGGTCAAATAATAAATACAATGACGGATTTGCGCTTCCGTGCCTGCCCGCCCGCCCACCCACCGGTGATAGATGGGAAATGGGGACTCGATAACCAGTGTTGCCACTCTCTCCTGGTGATTTGGTACACAATGCTCCTCAGATTGTGAAACTGCACTTACATGTACTTTGCGAGGGAAACCGGCAAAACACTGTCTCCATTAGTGATAAAAAATCTAAATTCGATTAAAAAATCACCCTGTAAACTTGTAACTTGCATGATCTTAACGACGGTGCAATGCTAGTTATTCCTCGTTGAAAATTTCGGAATTTTTTTCAAAAAAATTCCCAGAGAATTCTATTTGCAATTTCCTTGAAAATTATCTGAAAATTTCGACGAGAAACATTTAAATTTGTCTGCAATTTGGTGGCTTTTCATTCCCTAAAAAGGAGGTTAAAAATTTGTTTTTGAAATTGAAACAAAATTCTCTTCAATTTCGAGAATATATTAATTTGACGTACAGTTGTTTTATTCATTTGAAGAATGTTTTTTCACATGAAAGTGTCTTTCGAGCATTTTTTTTTTAACGTTGGATAATTACATTTTTCATTAATGACAAACCTACGTTTGTTTGAACAAAAAAATATAATTTGACTAAAGAGAAAAACATTTCCTTGCCTTAACAAACTGTTCTTTAGAAGAAAGAGAAGTTCGGTTTAATTTTAAACAAAAGTTTTCACAGCCCCATTTTTTCAAGTGCTCCTTACGAAATCACCAGAGATGTGACAACCCTGCCGAGGTGTGTTATTGAAAGGGAGGCAAATCAAAATTAAACTGCGGTGATGATTTCCGCGTCTAGAGCCGCCACATGGCGACCGCGATTCAAATCCGGGCAATAATTGGAATTGAAAAATGTAAACAAAGGCCGGAAACTAAACGGCAAAAGACTCGCCACTGTCATGAAATAATGGAGACTGGAAGGAGTCAATCCTGCCCCGGGGAAATCAGAGGGAACGAATAAAATCCACACCTCAACGAGCCACGTTCCGAATTTTTCGGCCACGGTCTTGTGCTGCCCTGCGTCGCAAAAGAGCAATATTTGCAAAATGGACTACATTTTGCAATTGGCAACTAAAATTTCTGGCTCAGCCGTAAAAACACTTGCGTGCATACGGAAACTAATGGTCCATACGTTGTTCCTAAACTGAGTTAGAAATTATGTAGCTCCTAAATGCAAAATGCAGTCCAAATGGTCGTATTTGGATCAGTTGAAACCAGGCGTTTCTCGCAAATTAGTAACACGGCGATAAACCGTATGAGGAGTGCCCTACAAATAACTGCATGACCACATGAGCGTGTTCTGTGAGTTAAAAGAAGATTTTTTTTTTCTTCTATAAAGTTTTTTTCCCAAAAATCAGCCGTAAGCCAGAGCTTCCGCTCCCAATTTTTTTAGAGGAATCATCGTTTTTTCTTAATTTTGCAACATTATAGGTTCAAAGAAATATACATTATCACGGGCAGTTTGAAGATGCATGTAGAGTTTCAAAGATATTAAGACTATGCGAACCTAACCAGTAATATTTATCGATGAAATTTGTATAAAATGGCAATACATCCAATTAGAAACGCACTCGGGTCGGATTTTAAAGGTCCAGTTACACGATCTAATTGGGCCTCTCATTGGTCGCATCCTCACCTCAGGTCTTTTTCCACCAATCAGAGCTTCAGTTTGATGGCTCAATTCGATCGTGTAACTGAACCTATAGAACTGAGTCTATTCTGAGGATATGAGGATATCTCAAACTTTGTGGAGGTAAAGCCGCAAAACCACCAATTAATACTCTCGTCTACCAAAATCGAAAAAAGCTCCCGTTTCGAGATTTCGTGTTGGTAAAATCAAGGCACAATTGGACAAATACTTACCTTAGAATTCTACAGTTAGTAAAAGTGAAATAATCTGCTTGACGGACCGGATAGACACTAACAGCTTCAAATGCAACATGCAAGCGGCAAATAATAAAAGTATCCTAATTTTCTTTTTTTTTAGGGATGACTAAAAATTATTAAAATTCATTCAATAAGCTAGCAGAGGCGGTGTAAATCATTCGTGCTAATACTGTGCATCATAATTACACGATTTCACAAATCTCAGGAACGATAATTCGGACTGCATTTTGCGGTAAGGAGCTGGCACACACGTCAAAGGACCTATCTGCATAGGCAAACTAATGGCGCATATGATGTTTCTACGGAGAGCCAAAAGTGGGCGGTTCCTTTTTTCAAAACTACTACACAGTCACCTTCCCGTAAGAGTTGGCTCATTATTTGACCGTTCAAGCTTACTTGACGCTCACGTCACTGACCTCGCTGCGGTCGGAAAAAGGTACGGGCCTCAATCTAACGCCTAACAGACTTACGACTGTAAAATTACAGATTACTGAGACCAGGAAAAACCAGGAGAGTTCGCAAATTTGGCGTTTGCCTCCTTCCTCGCTCTATTATTCCATGACAGAGATTTCACGCAGTGGCGTGGCGTGAATTGCGATATATCGATTTGTATGCCATTTAAATCTATGGTAAAGAATCGATTATTAAGAAGTTCGCTGCGAACACCCTGTTTATCGATCCTCTTCCATGGGTTTAAATGGCATAAAAATCGGTACATCGCAATTCACGCCACGTCACTGATTTCACGTTCACGTGACGTCAGGTGAACGAGAATGCGCGTTGTGAGGCTCATGTAGATGCTTAATGGACGGCCTCTCAGGGATATTTAAAAAATCACTAGGTAGCTCATTCAGAACTATCCTGCAAAAAAGGTGTTCAATACCTCAGGCCTTCAAGGAAGTTGCGACTTGTTCGCAGTAATGACACTCATACATAAGTTTAAATAATGGTATTAATTTTAGACTTGAGTATTTACATTAAAATTTTACGACTTAGCTCTGAGGAACGAGAAGCAAAATCAAGGTGTCAAAATCGACGGAGAAGAACAAAGACAAGCGGACTGCGTGCTCTATAAGGCGCCTTCATTTCGGCTAGCAACTTCACGCGTTACACACACGTTAAAATAGTTATCTCGCGTGCGCCGTGCGAGTAAGTACATGCTTCGGTGTGATACTTCAAGCTGATAAAGAGTGATTTTTTGGAAATTTTTAGATTTGACGATCCACTCTTGTCAACATAACGAAATTTTCGGGTCTTTGATTTATTCATACATTTTTATTTTTTGCAAACTCTGGCATTCACATTTTGAGCTGTGGGAAATTGCTTCGTGGGACTTAATCTAGGTTTTGACATAATTAAAATCGTACGTTTACTAAAGATGTAACTTACTCCGATAATAGCGTTGAGCTCTGTCATTGTGACCTGTTTCGCCCTTTCGACGGCCGTGGCGACTTGTTGCTGGTGCTGAAACAATAAAGCAAGTAATGCGTCAGATCAGATAAATACAACATTTTCAAAGAACGGATAGCTGAAAGTTTGTAAGTTTCTCGATTCGAACGATTTCCTCTCCCGAAGCAACTTCTAAGAAAGCTATCAAGAGGACTCGATCAGTCTTCAGCTTGCATCCACATGGTTAAAAAGGGGCTGTCATTTGACCCTAGAATCAGCCCAACAGCATCCAGTGGCGATTCTTGAAGGGTGGCAACACTGTTTTCTTCCATTTATATCTATTAAAATTGTCGATTTTCGGTGAGGCCAACCAATAATCGATTGTTTAACGTGCATTTAAATGGAGGAAAAACAGTGTTGCCAACTTTCAAGAATCGCCATTGATTACATCAGACGTTGCGGACAACGGACACGGATGTGGGGAAAGGGTAGCGTTAGTGGTCCATAGTCTACGGTGGTTCCTATTGGGGAGGAGGGGGGTTAGACTACGAATAGACGACTCCCCTTCCACCCATGGGGAGGGGGGAGGTTGTTACAAGAGCTTGGATGCCACCCGACCGACATTCATTACACGGCGAGGCCGAGCAGGTTAACACGATATAACCAGCACCTTCGCCTCGTGTGCGTCAAGCTGACGACCCTGTCATGTCGCACAGTGAGAGGAATCATCGAACTAGATCAAACATCAAATATAAGACTATAACAGTCAGTTTTAATTTTAATTCCGTCACGTTGCGAGATTTGAAGGGTGTTCCTTGGAAGAAATTCTACAGGAAAACCGATGGAACCGCCCCACAGTGGATCGAGTCAGTAGGAGAGGTCGGACAAAATTTGGTAACTTTAAACGCTTATAACTCCGTTATATAAAACTTAGAGGTTCTAAAAGTGGTTTAATTGGTTTTCTCGTGAACATTTCTTCCAGTAACACCTCTTGAACTTTAAAATGTGACAAAATAAACATCAAAATTTGCGGTTTTAGTCAAAAATTTCATGCCCGACCTCTCTAAATAACTAGATCCATTGTTCGCCCTTAAACTTTATGTTTCTTTTGAGTGAAAGTGATGTGATTTTTAAGTTTCCACATCACATCCGACCTCTCCCACCAACTCGCTCCATTGTGCGGCGGCCACCGTCTCTCGCTGGAATGTGAACCAGTGATTTTTTTCTCCCTCTCTCCAAATGGGAACACATCCGTTTTAGGACGCACTCGGAAAAACACGAGGGATTATGAGCTCATCTGTAGTAACAGGGCGAGTTCCAGAGACGATATATTTTAGTAGCCCCGCGTTAACAATCTGAGCGATGTAATTGGCTGAGGCAAAGGAGTTATTAGGATGTCGACGCTATACTTCATATCTGAAGATGACAGAGGGAGCAATATTGCGGAGCATGAAACTCGCCCAATAATGACTATAAAATGATGAATGTCGGGGTGAGAAGCCAATTCCTTGACTCTTTGGTCATCCAGGGTATCTACTAAAACAGGCTGACTAAGAATCAGTCCTTTTACAGTGCTTTTTCAGTACAATCCCAAAAAATTCCGTACCTTCTTAACAGAAAAATTCAGTACTTTTTCTGTACCTCCAATCGACGAAATTCGAAAAGTTTCAAAGATTTGAATTTCTCGCTCAAATTATGACAAAAATGACAAAACTTCCGGACCTTCTTGCGGAATTTCCGCACTTTTTCAGTACTTCCGGACCGCTCTTGAAAAATTAGTGCCATTTCCGGATTTTCCGGACTTGCAGACACCCTGTCATTAGTCCTCGTTGGACGAATCTGAGCGTTGACTTCCGAAAATAACTTCTTCATTGAAAATCCATGTGTTTTCCGAACATCCGTAACGACCTCTCAAAATCCGAGCTATGATTTTCCGATTCAACTCGGCTCTAGGTCCGACAAAAAAGGCTCTACAGAGAGTGCCGATACAACAAAAAAATCCTAGAAGACTGATTTGGAAGGAGAGAGAGAGAGCTGCTTCTTTTCCCAAAGCACCGCACCGGTCACTCGATCAGCGACATAATCAGGTGTCGCGGAGACAAAAGCCGCGGGCCACCGGTGAATAAAACGAGAGCCAGGAGCTCTCGACTAATTAGCTCGCCCATCACAATCGGTTTGACGACTCGTCGTCCGTTTTCTCACACGGCGAGTCGCGGTCGCGTCCCGGTCGGGGGATCCAGACATAAATTTCCTCGCGCCGAGACGACCACACACGTCAAACGCGCGCAACATCAATAATTCAATAAAACACTCAGCTCCTTCCTTATCCTTTTTCCTGTTTCCGCCCCCCCCCCTTCACCCCCAACAACGCCCGTTCACTCCCAGTCGCCTTCGTGTCCCCTCTAACGGACGCTCCTTGCTGAATCTGAAAGAAGCGGTCAATGGCGCACGAAAAAATGAGGAGGGGAGGATATAGCAACTTTTCAAAGTTGTCAAGACCTTTCAATGTACCTTCCTAGGAAAACCGATGAGAGAATGCAGTTGCACTGGTTACGGAATCGTGTTTTGATGGTCGAAACTCACAGACCAAATTAAAGATTCAGTTTCAAGGCTTATGACGTTATTAATCGCACGGGAGTGCATACCATGGTTTCTTCCACCTTGATGGTTTCATCCATCAGTGAGACATACATTTACACCGGTTGCTCAACGTGAACACGGATGAATTAGAATCAGAATGTTCAAACCATCAAAATAAATTTCTGTGTCGGGTGCACCTGCTCCATTTTTTGGCTATGTCTTCAAACTAGCATTCCTCCTGACAGTCAAAAGGACACTAAATGAGAGGAAATGGTGGGGAAATTTGGCTCAACTCAATGTTTTTCACTGGAGTTACAAATTGAAGTACATCTTCAAAAAGAAGGCAAAACAAGTATTCCTTATGGTCCGTTTATATTTTGTATGAGAAGACAGTACTGCATTTGGTATGCGGCTCTGATGAGAAGTTATTAAGGTTAATGATTTGTACACAATTCTGTGATATAAAACAATCATTAAAACAAAGCCAAAACTCACCTCTTGAGCAAGGAAAGGAATAATTTGTGCAATAATGGCATTCAGTCTCTTGGCTATTTCAGTCTGGAAAAGAAAAAAAGAGAAAATTATCAAGATTAATAATATATTGAGAGGGAAAAAAACTTGCATTGATATCATTTTTTTTATCATCAACGAAAGCTCATAATGTTCAGGGCCGGATTTACCTACTTGCCGCCCATGGGCCGCCTTTATTTTGCCGTCCCTTCTCATTCGTTTTGAAACATCGATACAAACCATCAAGTGAACGTGCCGGAGGGGAGGTGTGCATAAGACGCGTTTACTCGCGTTGGGCACATTTTTTGTAAAAGCCCTGCTGTCAACACTAGCAAAAGTTCACGGAACTTTGCGCAAAAATTAAATTCCGTAAACCTATCTCTGTGTGGACGAGGCCTTTCACTTTTAAGAAAAGAACGAAAAAATTGTGAAAGAATTAATTTCTGCCACCGCGCCAACCACACTGTTTGGCGCAATGCGTGAAGTATCTGGACAGTCTTGTAGGCGCTGTGCGTTTCACGCCAACCACTGCTGACCGCACTACGTTTGACGCAATGCGTGAGGTATTCATGGAGTCTTGTAGGCGCTAATATGAGTTCCATGCTGACCGGCGCGCCGAGGGCTTTTCCTTTCCATCTCAAGTCCTCGTCATCATTGCTCCCTGCGCCGCGCCGGTCCAGGCCAAATTGCGTGTTTCGTTTCTCTCTCAACTTCTGTCTCTTGTATCATCGAAAGACGAACAAATTAGAAATTACTATACTTTAACTCTCAGAAAATGAGAGCTTTTTTCGCTTTTTCTCGTTTGTAACTTTTTTTTCTGAATCAAGATTTTTTTTCTTGATACTTACATTTGAAAAAATTACAACATTTGCCGCGCCCCTTTTGCCGCCATGGGCCACGGCCCATGTGGCCAATGTTAACTTGAACACATTCTCAAAATTCAGTACATTTAAGAGCAAGTATTTTCAACCTTTTTTGGCCGATATACTTTTAGACCTCACGTGCACTAACGCGGCTCCGTGAGGAGCGTGGCATTTTTCTTCAGCTTCATGGCAAACTTCTCATGCGCAGCTTAAATTCCCTGATTCTTCCCTGTTTCCAGGTTTGTCCAGAGCTGTCATTCCATTTCCTGAGTTTCCCAGATTTTCCCACACGTGGCAACCCTGCGTATTAAATTTCCATTCAAGAAAAAAGAAACTGAATCTCCTCAGTTCAAAGGACTTGCGTCAATGTTCGTACCTACATTCACTCGAACGGAATTCGAAAGAGATGGGGCGATACATACCTGTTTGTGCATTTCCACGTTGAGACCGTAGGACATCTCGTAGTACTGGAACATAAAAGAAACAAGAGAAACAAATTAGAGCGAGCTTCTAAACTTGGACCGAGATACATGAGGACGGGGCGGAGGCAGGGAGGCTGGAAGGGCTATTAAGTGGGCAGGGGGGCAAAGTGGGTGGGTAGGCGGATAAAAGGGAGACGGGGGAATGGGGAATTCTAAGTCTCGTTAGCTGCCGTCTCGGGGCACGGTGGGCAGTCATAGACGTTATTAGTATTACGTCACAGGAAAGCAATATAATATCGATAGGTTCTCATTGGTAGCACATTGGAGAGTGCGCTATTGTTATTATGTGGATGAAATTCCATGAAACCAGGTACAATATATTTCAGAGACCTCTCAATACTGCGATCTTCCCTAGGGTATAAAAGTGACTTACGGAAGTCAACGCTTAGATTCGCCTGATCATTAGCTAAGCGATTGGTTCAATAATCCGATAACTTTTGCAAAAATTCGCCTCCTAGAGTGCTCTCCCCGACATTAATCAGTCATTGCAGGGCAAATTCCATGCTCAACAAGTTGCTCACCGATCATCATTCGGCTAAAAGTAGCGTTGAACTCCCACCTTAGATTTTGCCTCTTCTTATTGCTTCGATTGAAGGTGCGGGGTCTCTCAAATATACTGTCTCTGATATCGACTGATCCTCATCGGTGGCACAAGAAGAGGCTACGCTACTGATAATATGTGGATTCGATTCTACATAAAACGGAAAATCCCTACGGTATGACATCGCGACTTCAGTGTCTGCAAATACGCGTGGTAGGTCTAATATAGGAAATCGAAAAAGAGACTCGAGCCAAAAATTACCTTTACCGCAATCAACGCGTTCAAGCATGGTGTTCCAAGTAGTGAGCCAAAAAGAGGGAGAGAGGACTTTATGCAAAACAGTACATTTTAGAAACCCCGCACTAACAAACTAAGAAATGTGATCGGGGAGGCAAAAGTTGAGTTCGGAGGTCAACACTACTTTTCCTTCTAATGATGACTGATGAGCAACTTGTTGAGCGAAAACTCAAATAAAATTCGCCGAATGATGACTGGTGAATGCTGAAATGAGCGCTTTGCTAGGCGAGTTTCTGAAAATTAGGTTAAATGATGGTTGAACCAATTGCTCGCACTTCGGTCATCTGTCATCATTACACGAATCCGAGCGATGACTACCCAAAGTATCTTCAATGGAGAAGATATCATCGCTCCTCTGGCGTGACGGCTTGTCTAGATTTCCGAATCAGCCCCAGATATCACGGATTTATACGTAAAACAAGGCCAACACGGAAATTAAGATGCGCCCTTTACGTCAGCGGGGCGCCAAATCTAAAACGTTTTGCCTCTGACTTCATACCACGAGTGCAGGTTGACGCTCGGAGCCGTTTTGCGGCACCTGAGAACCCACCGCGCGATGAGGGAACAATTAGCGGTTTCTGATAGTTAATAAACCCGAACCCGAAGCAAGTTTATCAAACTTATGCATATAAATCTGAAACTAACTCCGACCTAGCCCCCCCCCCTCCGCCCCTCCGATCCCTCCGTCGGCCCTCTCCGAAATACGCCGCGACCACTTCCCGACTAATCAACTAATTCCTCGACGAGCTCCCCCCCCCCTCCCCCAACGCCTCCCTCTCGCCCCATCCCTATGCCCCCTCCCCTTCTCGAAGTCGAGCTCATCGTCTCGCCACAAAATTACACGTAGCCTCATCAAATCATCGGGACGAATAATCAAACCGTGGAGCAAATAAATATGATTATCCAATTACTCGAGAGTTTTGAGAGCTAAAGATGGTCGATGAGGGGAGAGGTTGCGATCCGGGCAACACCCTCAATTCCAATTCATGTATTCCGAAGTCAAAGCTTGATCGCAACTTAACTTTTCTCAAGGTTCGCGTTAGGTTAGTGACTGCGCCTAAGAGTAACTATTCCGAGTTGACTAGTGCCGAGGCGTGAATGATACATTATCATTTTTTCCCTATTTGATACGGTGGTAAAGAATTGATAATTAAAAGGTTCGTTGTGAAAAACCTATTTATCGATCCTTCTCGATAGGTTTAAATGGCACATCAATCAATGTAAGCACGTCACTCCACTGGAACTAACTTTAACTACGTTAACGTATCTGACCTAACGTACTCCATATCTCTGTGAAGGAATCCAACTCTTGACATGATCCTTCCCTTCTTCGAATGCGTTACTAAATGGTTGAAAGGTCCTGGTAGAAGTATTCGAGCATTGTTTAACACACGGTCACTATGGTCAGTGTTCAGTGGACCTCCTATGGACAATTTTCACGTTAAAATTAAGGTTGCAGGTGAGCCAATCTTGAAAATGAACTTTCCCCGTCGCCCAGCTGATTCTGGAGAACATCTACGGGCTGATTATTGAAATTGACGGACAAAGCGATAGACAAAGACGACACAGGGGTATGGAGCGTTCTTATTGGTTGAAACGGGTGATTGTTATAGACTAAGGGGGAATATGATGGCCTAAATGTAGGATCTCTCGTGGGTTGGCGTTAGTCTATTAGGTACTTACTTTCTTTGTCCATTGCACTAACCACCCGCTACCATCCATTAGGATCGCTTTTTTTTCAATCAGTTATCTTCGTCCGTTGCTCAGTTTTTTAATTCCAAAAATCAGTTTTTGGTGAAATTCTGTTGAGTTGGCGTTGAGGAGAAAAAGGGAGAACGGGGAGTTGGGGGGAAACAGGAAGGCGGTAGATCTTAATTTTTTACTTCAACATCGAAAGCAAACGCGGGAGTCAACAAGGCGGATTTTTGTCCCAACTTAAAAAAGCTTATGTTCAGACGACCGACTGATTTGGCATTGTCTCTAGCGAGGAAATAATGTTCCCTCGCAGAGCGCCAGGTTTTTTCGGCTCGGAGCCTGGGCTCGTGTAGTCCTGGGGCCTTCCGAAGACAACCTGTTCCTCGTAAATACTCCGGTTCGATCGTTTCTCGAACACGGAGCGGGGCACGATGCCCCGGGTGGAAGGGGGAGTTGGTACAAGGCGTCGAACAGGACAACACGGGGTGTGGATTGTAAATTTGCCTTCTCCGTCCGGTTGTGAGTGGTTGGGCCGCTGCCGCTGATGGATGGCGCGGTTTTGTGGCGCGGTGGCCGGCCTCCGACTACCTCACACCCTCGGGAATCGAGTGACGAGTGAGCGCGCTGCGTCAACTGCTGAATCGCCTTCAACTGACCGGGTAGGCAAATCCATGCACCAGCGCTCGAATAGTTGCGTCGTCTCTGAAGAAACCGAACACTCTCAATGTGCCCTATGAGGAGAAAGAATGCCGTTGGGATGACATTTTTTGTGCGTCAATTTACTCGCAATAGGGTCAGTCCATGGTAAGGTCAACCTGAGGGTCTAAAATTGAAATACAGTGAAACTTCTTTTTGAATACATTTTTGAACGGCAAATAACTTCTAGTTTCCGAAAATATACGGGTTTCGCGATTTTTCTTGTTTATTTTGTGTATTTTTGTTTGTTTTATGACTTGGTGCTGTACAGTGTATTTTAGGTCTGGAAAAGGTGTAAGTTGGCAGCACTTTTTTACTGTTCCTGGCTCACAACTATTTGAGGTTATGTTTTGATCTCACAAAAAACATGACAACAAATACGTGCTCGCAAAAGTTGGATTTCTAAAAGTAAGTACTTACGAGTTTTACTACTTTGAAGTTGGGTTCATCAAATGTCCGGCCCGTTACGCAAAAAGATGGTTTTCTTTTATTTGCTTGCTTATTTTTGCATATTTAAATGCGAATTTTTGGATTCACTTTGTTCTGATAACTCAGGTTCTCCTCAATTTTTTTTTCAATTTTTATATCTTGTGAGATGTTGAAAACAACATATTTAAAATGTGTCCATCCCGTTACGTAACGGGCCGGACAAGTATTGAACTTCGCTATTTATGGGCACAGTGGGTTCTAATTTTCAGGATTGTGAAAGGGCTATATTAGAAACATCAGAAGAACCTTATTAGACCTAGGAGGTACTTAAAAACCTCAAAATGTTCACTTTCTTGGATTTTAAAGCAATTTTGTTGTTTCAGGTTTTAAAAAATGGACATTTTTGCAAACCGGATGCAGAAGCACCGCAGAAAATTGAAAGAGAACCCAGCTGCCTATAAAGCCCACCTAGCTAAAGAAAGGCTGAGAGACAACATCAGGAAACAGCGAAGAAGAGAATATTTAAAAAATCATCCATCAGATGCGGAGGCTGTTAAGAAGAAAGATGCAGAACGGAAGCGCCGCAAAAGAGCAGAACAGAAAACGTGCAGCCTACTTGGTATAAATAGTGCTTCAAGTCCAGGTAAATCACCTTTAGGCACATATTCATGCAAGCAGACATTAGGAAAAGCAGTCCAGAAGTTAAAAAAAGCTTTGCCGAACAGTCCAAGAAAAAAAATCGCTGTAGTCAGGAAATTATTATTTGATGCGAAAGATATTTCGCCAGTATTGAGAGAACAACTTTCCGAGCAGCGCAAACAGAGAAGGAGACAGAGCATTTCGCAAGAAGATATAAATTTAGTTACCAATTTTTATTTATCGGACAAGTATTCTTGGCAATCACCCGGTAAGAAAGATACTATATCACTGAAAAGTGCGACTGGTAAGAAAGAACGTATTGCAAAACGGTACTTGGTCATCACTGTTGGAGAGTCATACCAATTATTCCTCCAGTTGCATCCTACTACAAACATCAAGAGATCGAAGTTTTTTTCTTTGCGACCAGCCTATGTGTTCCCAAGGAGTAACTTGCCGCATAATGTTTGCACATGCATCTATCACGAAAATATAGGCCACTTGGTAGCGGCTCTTTCCAACGAAATACCAAATTTTCCAAAGTCCTCCAGCGATGTTTTGAGAAAAATCTGCTGTAATACTGAAAATGAGGATTGCATGCTGAATAACTGCACTAATTGCAAATCAATTGGTCATCTTATAGAAACAGAAATTTCAGCCAAAACCTCAATGAGATATCGAAATTGGCAGAAGCAAAGCGGTGAAAAACGACTTATGATGATTGACGTTGAAGAATCATTGACTGATGCCATTCACTCATTACAGGCCTTAATTCCACACTTCAAGACCCATTATTATGTAAACAAATTTCAGGCGATACACTTCTGTGACGTTAGGGAAAAGGTTCCACCAAATACTTGTGTTTTACAGGTCGATTTCGCAGAGAAGTTCGCAATAAAATATCAAGATGAGGCTCAAAGTGCTTACTTCAATCAAAAGCATATTTTAGTATTTACTTGTTGCGTTTGGCTGGAAAACAAAAAACATTGTTTCGCGGTTATTTCAGACCACAAGAAGCAGGACAAATATATGGTATGGTACTGCTTGAAGCTCATCATTGACCACTTGAAAGAGAAATACCCGAATCTAATTCGAAAGCTTCTCATTTTCAGTGACGGAGCATCCTCACAATTTAAAAACCGCTTTACAATGGCAAATTTATCCTTTATTCTGTCAGAGTTCGACTTGGAGATCATTTGGAATTTTCTTGCCAGTTCACATGGAAAGGGTGCTGCTGATGGGATAGGAGCTGTCCTTAAACAAGCTTTGTGGGCCGCACTACGTTCAAGAAAAGTATTGCTGCATAATGCTAAAGATTGTCACGACTACGCAGTTAAGCATATCACTGGGGTAAAAACTTTTCTTGCCGAAGAGAGTGACATCCAGGCTTACAAAACTGAACTTGAGAAGAAATGGGGTTTAGTCTGCGCCATTCCTGGAATTAGGAAAAGCCATGTCTTTGAAGTCAAGGACAAGAGTTCATTGAAATTGAAGGTATGCAACTCTTCAAAAAAATCAACGGTACGCACTGTTTTCAAGGAAATTGCACCCATTGTCACTTCCTCAGCGAAACTGAGAGTCGAAGATGTTTACTCCAGCAGTGACGAAGAGAATCCAGCAGAGGATACAGCTCATCTATCCGCAAGGAACTCTTCAACTCCTAGTATGACGTGTGCCACTTCAAATCAGCCTAATGCAAGTAGCTCAGTCTCCCCCTCAAAAAGAAGCCCTACACCAGAGGCAGCCTTAAGGGAAGGAGTGTATGTTCTCGTGAAAATTACCTCCAATAATGAGAAAAATCATAACGTCTATAAATATGCCGGTATTGTCCAAGAGGTTGATTTACAAGAAGATGAAATAAAAGTCGGTTTCTTGAAAACCATGAGTGGTAACCAGGCCAAAAAGTTCAACTTGTCAGAGGAAGTATCTTTTGTCCCTATTGACCACATTTTAACGGTACTTAAAGAACCAAAAATGGTTTGTCGTGGAAACCGTATTCACTATGAATTCGATGCAAACATCGATGTTTTTGAGAAGAGATGTTAATTTTTAGCCAAAGTTTCAATTTGTTAGTTTGTTTGGTCTCATAGAACTAATATTTTCTTGGTCTCATAGAAATAATATTTTCTTGGTCTCATAGAAATAATATTTTGTTAATGGTCTCACAGAGACAATTTTAAGTACAAACTTTTTCATTTCTTTTCACTAAATTTAATTTTATATTGTCTTTTGGTTTTTCTGCACCAAGTGCAAAATACTAGGAACACTGTAAAAGGTCCATTTCTTAGTTTATTTTTTCGTTCTTGTTTACTTTAGTTTTAAGAAAGCTGCATTGTGTTCNGGATTTTAAAGCAATTTTGTTGTTTCAGGTTTTAAAAAATGGACATTTTTGCAAACCGGATGCAGAAGCACCGCAGAAAATTGAAAGAGGACCCAGCTGCCTATAAAGCCCACCTGGCTAAAGAAAGGCTGAGAGACAAGATTAGGAAACAGCGAAGAAGAGAATATTTAAAAAATCATCCATCAGATGCGGAGGCTGTTAAGAAGAAAGATGCAGAACGGAAGCGCCGCAAAAGAGCAGAACAGAAAACGTGCAGCCTACTTGGTTCTTGGTCTCATAGAAATAATATTTTCTTGGTCTCATAGAAATAATATTTTGTTAATGGTCTCACAGAGACAATTTTAAGTACAAACTTTTTCATTTCTTTTCACTAAATTTAATTTTATATTGTCTTTTGGTTTTTCTGCACCAAGTGCAAAATACTAGGAACACTGTAAAAGGTCCATTTCTTAGTTTATTTTTTCGTTCTTGTTTACTTTAGTTTTAAGAAAGCTGCATTGTGTTCTCTCTTTTTGACTATTTTTTAAGTCATTTTCTAGGCGAGTCAGAGAATTCAAAGCTAAGAATATTGACACATGCTCAAACCAAACTTTTGGTGCTTCCTTGCCTTTGTTTGCTATTAGTCATTTTTTGTTTGTTTGTTTTTTGGTTTGTTTTTTTGTTTTTTGTTTGTTTGTTTTGTTTGTTTTGATACTCACACCGTGCCATTGAAGTATTACTATTATTATTATTATTTTTGGTACTAGTTACTATTTATTTTTCCTCGAGCTTTTGTTTCTTTATTATTATTTTCTTTGATGTTTCTGCCAGTAAAACATTAATAAAGTTCAAATTTTGATTTAAAAGAAATCTTAACTGTTTTAAAATCATTTTCATATCCTAATAAGTAATAAAATTTATGTGCAGGTGGATGGGGAGCTGGAACTGTTATCAAAGAAACTCGGAGAAAAGAAAGCGTTCGGCTTCCAGGGGATAAAGAGTTCATTTTATTTTGCTTTATATATTTAAAAACAAAAAAAGAATAACTACTAAGTAAAGGAAAAAAGTAGGTTCTGACTCCTATAATGATAGCGTTCAAAATTTAAGTAACTGCATTAATGAACTGTCGCTCTTAAGCGAGTAACAGTTCAAGTTATTGATTTAAGAGAAAAGTGTCCGACCCGTTACGAGTGTTATTTTGACTATTATGCTCATAATTTTGTTTCCAAGTTAACACAATCGTATTAATAACTAAAGGATTGAGTGTTGTGGGTTGAAAATTAATCAAAATAATTGAAATTTCGGGAAAAGAGTAAAAAATCAATAGGTATGTAGAATTTGCTACTACTTCTACAAGCTGCAAAAAATAAAAATCAACAAAAAATTGCATTTTATCTATCTAAATTAATCAGTCAGAACCTTAAATTAATGCATAGAAAAAATTGGACCAATGTATGATCATATACAGATGACTTTCAGCCGTAAAACCATGTGTCAGTCGTACTCTGTCCGGCCCGTTACAAATGCTGTCCGTCCCGTTACGCAGATTTTTCAATTTTTTTCATGCTTAATTCAATACTTATGAAAATTAGTTTAAATAGCATAGTACCTTGAACCCTTGAGGACTATATACATTTTTTGTGGATTTTTTACATGGTAAAATTCGCTGAGTTATTCAATTTTCTCAAGGGAGTCAGAACTCACTTCCAAAAACTGTCCGTCCCGTTACGGCTCTATTTTTGGTATAACTCCCTTAAAAATTAAAACAAAAAAGTAAGTTCGTACACTTTTGGAAATAACACACTGAGCTCTATCTACTGGTACAATTTATTTTAAATTTATGTGATTTTAAATTCATTTCTTTATTACTCAAAGGCGTGCGGTTGTCCGGCCCGTTACAATGGACTGACCCAATAGCATTTTCCCCCCTTCTTTTTTAAGTTGCGTATTTTTGTTGGAATTTTGTACCCGAGAGTGAATATTTTACCGAGGTAGGCTCATGCGCGGTTTTCCTAAACACGGTAGAAATGGTAAGGTCAGCAGGCAACTTTCCGCTGCCAAATCTTCAATTTTTCGTTTCCGTGGTTGCGAGAAAGTGATTAAATTTTGCAAAATCAAGGCACAGGGGAAAGATTCAATTTTTAAAAACCCCGAAAATATGTTTTTACGAATTCGTAACGCTATGCCATAGATGGTTAACATCCGCCGCCGCGCGAATCATTCCTTCAGTCTTGTAGGCGCTATGCGTTTCCCGCCGACCGCTGCTAACCGCACTACGTTTGACGCAATGCGTGAAGTATTCATGCAGTCTTGTAGGCGCTATGCGTTTCCCGCCGACCGCTGCTGACCGCACTACGTTTGACGCAATGCGTGAAGTATTCATGCAGTCTTATAGGCGCTAATATGTGTTACATGCCAACCACCGGCGCCGTGCCGAGGACTACGCCTTTTCATCTCAAGTCCTCGTCATCATTGCTCTCTGCGTCGCGTCGCCCCAGGCGTAATTGCGTGTTTGGTTTCTCTCTTTATTCTATATATATCGTAATTAAAGGTGCTGTCTCTTTTATCGCAGAAAGACGACAAAATTAGTAATTACTATACTCTCAGGAAATGAGAGATTTTGTCGCCTTTTCTCGTTTGTAATTTTTTTCTCTGAATCCGATTTTTTTATACCTACATTTAAAAAAATTGCAAGATTTACCGCCATGGGCCGCGGCCCATGTGTCCACTCCCTAAATCCGGCCCTGTCGATCGTACCCACGATGCGCTTTTTACGAAGCTGAGGGTTCACCTTCGGTAGAGTCGCTTGTAATTTGCGGCTAATTTTGTACATCTACAATGAAAACCTGATTCCATGACAGACCAATCCGATGACGTCCCGATATTGTTACTGCACTGCCGTGCTGAGGAAGAACGCCGTGTGAACCTTCAGGCGTTACCAAATTCCCTTTGGTAAATCACAAATTTTCAGGAAAGCTTGTTAATCTTTCTCTTCCAATTTTCCAGACAATTTTGTTCTCAATTTTATCTAAAATATTCAAAAATATCAATGAGAAATATGCACGAGCTTCCTCAAAAATACATGTTTTATCCGGGGAAATTTGTCAACTCTCAAATGTTCATACGGCATTCTCCCTTAACACGGCGCACAGTGGATCGAGTGAATAGGAGAGGTCGGACGAAATTTGGAAACTCTGAACACTTATAACTCCGTTTATACAAAAGTTTAAGGTTCTAAAAGCGGTTCCACTGATTTTCTCGTGAAATTTTCTTCCAGTTACACATCTTGAACTTTAAAATGTGACAAAATAAGCATCAAAATTTGCAGTTTTTGTCAAAAATTTCATGTCCGACATCTCTAATTGACTCAATCCAAAAGCGATCGTGGCGGAGGCGCTGGCAACGTCCAGCCCGGCGCGGCGTCCAACGGTTCGACTTGTTAAACGGCGAGCGTGTATAATGAGCTCGCACTTGCGGCTACCGTGTTAACCATGTTCGCGGCCCAAGACACAGTGATTAGCTCAGCAACAGTGACATGAAGGAAAGGGGGAGAACACCGGTAGAGAAACACGGTAAGTTGAAAGGAGAGTCAACGGGGCTCCAGAACCTTTGATCGAGCTGCGGCGGGCGGACAATTTTTCGGAATTAAATTAAAATTTGAAATATGTCAATATTTAATGACGCGTGGAAACCCTACGGAAATTCAACGGTCTACTTTTACTAGCAGGGATTGAAGACTGCGGTGAATGATGAGAGCAACATTTTTTAATTTCAGCAAAAATTGGTTCTAGGAAATTACATTATCGAAATTATATTAGGACTTGAGACTCAAAAAAAAAAAAATAGGACTGCAGTTGTCACGCTAAAATTAATCTTTTTAAGGATTGTTTTTACAGAAATGTTCTCGGAAAAAAGTATATTTTTCCCTCGAAATCATCAGACTCGATATTTTTTTGAAAAAAAATCGCCTGCTTTTTTTTATTCATCGGAAGTTTCAATTGAGAATCTACTCTCGCGAAATGGAGGGAAAAATAGGAAACGTTCGCTCTGAGCCATGATTTCCATTGTGAGCAAGCTCTTTCTAGTGGAATTCAGATTTTTTTGCTTCAAGAATAAAAAAAAATCCTCATGCCTTCCCTTCTTTAAAGGGAAACTTCCATGATACCTGCTGTGCGCGTGCGGGAAGAGGAGAGTAGAGTATACAGCTCAGAGCTAAATTATGCCGGTGTTCATGGGTATTTTAGGATAGAGCCGAGCTCCTTCTTCAAAATGTTGGCGGAAAATTTACGAAAACAGCACAGAAGTCCGCAGAAAATGTTCAGACTTTTGTCTGGTCCGAATAGTAAAAATATCACCAATAGTCAGTAACTGTCTGACTCAATCTCTTGATGATCATTTTAATTGGGAACAGAGTTAAGTCACACTCACCATAACGTAATGTCGTTGCATTTCCGTTTTTTCTTGAGCTATTTTTTCTATTTCCATTTTTACACTGAAACAACAGAAAAATAAGATCCATTAGTACAGAAAAAGAATAATAATATAAAGTAAACATATAGAGGATCCACAGACTCAGCGGGGGCAAATGTCCCGACTTTTTCGAAGATTTTCAGGCATAAAACTGAAAATGTACGATGTACAATGTACAAATATGTAATACAAAAATGTACGAATAAAAACTTCGGCTGGAGCAAAAATAAGAGTTGTTCCGGATGAGTAATGTCTCAAAAATCACGATGAGCGCATCGGCAAATTCTGAAATGCATTCCTAACTTCACTATCCGCGGAAGATATTTGAGTTTTTTCGAGCTTCTCACTCCAAAAACGATACCATACGGCACAGGTGAACATTCCGTTGGAGGTGTTGTTCTATCCAACCCCTAAGCACTAGGATACTAGGGAATATTCAACATGATCGACACCAATCCGCCAAAACACATGTACCTGGACGAGATTCTAACCATTCTTTAACAACCTAGCGTGTTTTCATTCACGATTCCTTCGCGTTGATAAAGATCCGCTTTGAATGACCTTGTGCTCCCGACTGCGATTGGCGCGCGGAAGCGTCGGCTATGTTTGGTATTGCTATCGTAAAAGGGTTGAATGAAACGACTCTTCTGACGAAATGTTCACCTGTGCCGTAGTATGCGGGAAGCTCAAAATAACGCAAATTTCTTACGCAGATTGTGAAGTTAGGAGTGCATTTCAAAATTTGCCGATGCGCTCATCGAGATTTTTGAGACATTTACTACATAAGAGGCAACTCTTATTTTTGCTATAGCAAAAGTTTGCAACAGACCCATTCTTTGCGATGAGTTCTCTGCAAATGACAGAAACTTCGATCTTGCAAACCTCTTTTCATTAGGAATCGATTGTTAACTTCCTTAATAAAACTGATACATCTGTTCACCATTCAAAGTGTAACTTGGAGGATTAAACCTTCCACCAGACAGGGACTCAGCTTGATCGTTGCAGCCAGGTTTCAAATTCAAGATTCATCAAATTCCCAGTGTTCTCCATCGGATTTCCTGAATGCTCCCTGATTTCCCTGACCTGACGAAAGTCTCTGAACTGATGATATCCGGTTTCCCGTACTTGAAATGGACACCCTGGCTTGTCCATGACGTATGACTTAGTCATGAACTCATTTATTGTTAGTCTGATCGAGTTCATTCCCTGACTTGGGCCACCCTGTCTAGGTGACGTCACGTTTCCACCCGTCGCGGGGACCTCGATATCCTGACGTCATCCCTTTCCCTTGGGGCTCGGCGTCCATCTCCTGCCGCGGAGCAACTCCCGGCCATTAATGCTGATGAATAAATTGCGTGTTCCGAACGCGAACGCCCGGGCGCGGACGATAAAAAGCGCTGTTGGAATCGGATTTTACGAGGGCATAAAACGCGAGCGCGCGGACGATCGACGATTGTTCGCGTTGGACTGGGGCCGCCCCCCTTAGGGGGCAGGGGGGGCTTCCCGGCAAGTGGTACAGCGGTACCGTGGTACCGGGCCGTCGAGATGCGGCCGCGGTCGCCTAATACGCCCTAATGAAAATGAACTACGCACGACGACTCGCATTGACAGCCCGACAACGGCCGACCGCGCGTTGGTGCCGTTGATTGCCTTTATTGAAAACCCGCCAGGAGTGAGTGTACTTCGAATATTGCTGAGATTTTGACATTACTTCAGGGAGAAGAGTTGGAGAAATGGTACAGACAAGCGAAATTTTCAAAATCGGATTGATGTCAGTCAACTATTTCAGGGTGTCTTCTCTAGTTCTTTTTCATTTTGGGAAATCCTGATTTATCCTGATTTTTGACTGCTACAGCCTGGTTTAATGATTTATTCAAATCTTGATCAAATCCTGACTTCACGCAAGGCGAAAGGAACGAAAAATAGCTCAGTAAAAAAAATCCGATCGGACGGTCGCCTTTTCTCAAATTTTGATTTTACGACCGATTTTTCCTCAAATCCTGATGAAATCGAAATTAAATCCTGGTTGAACTCAAATCCTGATAGAATCGGGAAAATCCTGATGCTAGACACCCTGTTTTTCCATTTATGAAGAAATGAAAGGAAGTCTGCAGCGTTGCATATCGGGATCCGGTAATAACTAAAGTAAAATGTCCTATGATAAATTCTTATTTCTCATTCATTTATTTTTTTTAAAAAAATAAGAGGAATTTTAGAACAGGATGAAACGTCAAAAAAAGGTATCAGTTATAGAATCCTTGAAAAATTCCCGTAATTTACCACGTGGGACTCCGCAATCCCCTCAGACCCGTCCCTTAATCCGGCCATGGAAACCCGCACTCCTGCCTCGTCCCTGAGCCTGCGGAAATCCCCGCGGGATAGGCACCGACCCGACAACGCTTAGCATAAGCCTAAACACGCGGCCTCAACCGTACACACATGTCAACAAACGGGCGCAATAATTAATGGAATAAGAAACAATACTCATTTGTTACGGGAGCCCCCCCCCTCCCCAACCGTCGGGAGGGGGGTAACAATGACTCCCGACGACCCCAGTCGTAGCTGCCCACACACGACGGCGGCGGCGGCAGTGCAGAGTAGCCCCCCTTCCCTTAAGAGAGGGGGGCACCTGACTCGTCGGGTAAGTGTGGGGAGAGGTGGGGATGGGGGGAGGGGGTCAAAGAAAAGAAGCGAATCATGATAATGTGCGGTTTGGAGCCGCTGACGCGACACAACGCGTGTGCGAGTGTGCAACGACGACCGTGCCCAGTGCCCCCCCCTCCCCCCCAATCCTCCGCGAATAGGTACTAACAGTTGTCCGACAATAAAAGCAGAACTTTTGCTCGCCTAGGCGTTCATAATCGGTGAGCCCCATGCGAAGTCGAGGTCCGGGGGCGTATCCGTCTGGCCGAGCTTCCGAATTAAGAGACTAAGAGGGAGGAGTTCTCGAGGAACGTTTAAATCTTGGGGGGCCAGGGGGGGGGGGGGTGAATTTTCGATTAACCTGAGTGATAAAATAACGGCAGAGGTTCCAAACGTTAAAAGTCCGAAACTGACGCGGTTTAGAGCTGGGAGTGACGGATGGTTCATTTAAGTTAGGATACCTTGAAGGGGAGAGTATGGCCAAGTTGGTGATTTGGGAGGTTAGGTCATAGAGCTCTTACGGCCCAGAAAGGCAGCCAACCTGTGTTCTCAAGTTGTTCGGAACGATTCGTTATTGCAATTGTTACGACACGCTGTTTGTAAAGCACGTAATTGACTCAGTTGTATCATAAAACCACGAATTCACTCATTTTTGTGGAAGGACACTCATTCATAAACATTCTTGGCAATTTTGTTTTGATACTGGAATCGGCAACATTCGAATGCTCTTACGATGTTTTTCCTTAGCCTTAGCACGGCAGTATGGAGAGCAGGACTCGCGTGGAAATCGAGGTACGCCCTTACGTCGGAGGAACGACGACTTGAAGTCTACAGTCCTTTTCAAGAATTCTCCCCTCCTTCGTAAAAGAGCCGCGAAAGTTCTGTTAAGACGTAACTGATTCAAGAAGAAAACTAGAGTCCCTTTATACTGAGAGTCAAGACAACACCCCTCATGGAGTCACAAACGGGAATAAAGATTACAGAAATTGAACGTTTTTCGTAATCTTTGATCGGCTCATTCTTAAATTCCTTTCTCCGTTCCTTCTTTCATTCCGTTTGTTCCTTGTCGAACCTCAAATTCCTCGGTCCATTCCAGAGTATAATCTTTGCAATTGGTGAAATTGTAATCTTTATTCCCGTTTGTGACACTGTGAAGGCCTAAAATCCGGTTAACCAATCAGAAATGGATTCGCATTGTCTTGACTCTCAGTATAAAGGGACTCTTAAGAAAACCAATCGAGCGAAATCGTATTCTTCCGACGGGGGAGACTGCGGAGACATTATCGCCTTGTTTTCGCGGAGGAAGAGGAGAGGCAGAATGGTGGAGAGGAAAAGGAAGGGGCTCGGCGGAGGATTCACTCAGGATTCCGGCTCCGGGACAAGACACTCTCGAGCGTCTCGACGTCTAATTTAGTGGCACGCACCCCCGCCCAACCCCGAAAAAAACCCCGTTATCTCGTGCCGCATTCGGAAGTGAGAATTGGAGGGTCGCTCCGGAAGGGCGGCCCGGGACCGACGCACACTCCGCTATTTCATCTCCACGACTGGCCAAATGGTATTCGACGTAAACGATTGCTCAACTCACCAGGATACTTTTTAAGTGATATGGCACTGGAAAAAGAGTCTCTTCAGGGAGTCTACTTAAACAGACTGGCCAAAAATCAGTACTTTTACAGTACTTTTTCAGTACATTCTCAAGAAATTCAGTACTTTTTCAATACCTTCAACTGACGAAATTCGAAAAATTTCTAAAATTTGAATTTCCCGCTCCGCGCGCTAAACGACTTCCTTGCAAAATTTCCGCACTTTTTCAGTACTTCCGGACCGCCCTTGAAAAATCAGTGCGATTTCCGGACTTTCCGGAAATTCCGGACTTGTAGATAACCTGCTCTTGGATCCGGAGTTCAGACTCTTAAAAAATTTGACGAGAAAAGATATTCTTGGTTCTATCGGATTTTTTATTAAATCGAGAGCCAAGCCTCTTCATTTGAGCTGATTTCCTTCTGATTTAAGCAAAAGTCCAATGGAATAAGGAGTATTTTTTCTTGTCAAATTTATACAGTAGTTTGGCCTCAGGATTTAAGAGACTATTTTCCAGTGCGCTGTATTTGTCGAGTTGAGTTGAAAAACCGGATTTTGGAATTCAAACGGGAAAATTAACCCCCTAGACAGGTACTCTAGCAAAAACCAGCGTGTATTCCGATTAAGGAATAAGTTTTTATTATAAATATGTTTTAGAACGTTTAAATTTTACAGGGGTGCAAATATTTCAATCAAATTGTGAAAGCGCCCAAAAATTGTGGGTGCTGAGTTATTGTTTTTTAAATTTGTTCGAAGATTTTCAAATTTTCAACTCTATTGAATTTAGGTATTTATTAGCTGTAAATTCAGCCAAAATTAATGAGGAATAAAAGCCAAATAAACAACAGGGGACAAAATTCTTGAAAAACAATTAACATCAACACATTCAAAAATATTCCAAAGTTTTGATCAGAGCATTGCGATGACATTTTTGCGAAAACCCCAGCGCGTTGCGGAATATTTTGGAGGCCTCCTGGAGAAGTGCGGATGTCTACAACAATCTGGACCCAAGGTGTCTACTAAAGCAAGCTGGCCAAAGATCAGTGCTTTTCCGGTACTTTTTTTAGTGCATTCCCAAGAAATTCAGTACCTCCTCTACAGAAAATTTCAGTACTTTTTCAGTACCTCCACTTGACAAAATTCGAAAAATATAAAATATTTGAATTTCCCGCTCAAAAGCGACAAATATGACAAAAAAATGAAAAAATTCCGGACCTACTCGCGGAATTTCCGCATTTTTTCAGTACTTCCGAGCCGCCCTTAAACAATCGGTACTATTTCCGGACTTGTAGACACCCTGCAATCTGGACCCCTAATTGGACTGAGTTAAGCAGAAAGGAACCAATCAACATTTTGGAAAAAATAGAGTTATGAGTGGTTTTGAACTCAACCACTGCTCTACTATCTATCGCCGAAAATTCAAAGTTTTTCTCGGAGCAAATTTTGCAGAAATTGAACTTGAAGTTTATCTTTTACATTGAGTCTTATGCAGGAGCCAAACTTTAAACCTCTTTTTCTCGGTTCGATCCCGATGTGGCTTGGTTCCTTTCTGTTTAACTCCGTCCAATTGAGATTTGGCCAAGTTTTGAGGTGGCGGAACGCAGCGTGCGCCGGGAGCCGAGAATGTAAATCCGGGCCTTTAACGGGCACTAAAAGCGTCGGTTTCGACGGTGCGCGAGGTCAAATCGGCAGAAATGACTTACTGCGCTCCCGCGTCCGAGAGGGGGCGAGTCGGGGACTCCGACGCCCATTAGTGCCCGCTCGGCCGGAAAATCTGCCTACCTTGGCGAAAAAAGCGGATCTTCGTCGGGTTTTCGTCGGATATACGCTCTTTCTCCCCCAGCGGAGCAGAAATCCCTGTGTATCAATTTAACAGCGTGTGGAAAGGAGGGCGTGGGTAAAGCACTTGAGGCCTTTCCTCCGATTTCATTTTCCTGCCGGCGTCGTTCGCGACGACGCGGGCCCACTCCGCTTTGCCGTAAAAAAGTGCGTCAATACCGGCACTTTACCTCCCCCCCTCTCTTTTTTTTTTCTTTTATGCGGTGCGGGATGAAGGTATTTGGCTAGTATCAAACTGTCGGTGGGAATCGTGCTCATATTTTTTTCTGATAGTTCGTCGGCTCCCGTGCGAATGAACGTAACTCCATTCCAAGGTTGCCAAATTGACTTAAACAATTAATTTATTTTAAAAAAATGTACGTAAGCAATTTGTAGCCAAAATATCTCTGTTTTTTGCTCGGAAACTAGAGAAAAATCAGGGAAATTTTCAGTCAGAAATGTCCAAAATTCTCGTGGTTAATAGGCAATTTGCGAGGGGAAATTTGACAACATTGGAATGGAGTTACGTTCTTTCGTCGGGGAGACAACGAGTTGTACTATGCCATGCTAAGGATAAACGCCGTATGAACATTCGAGGGTTGCCAAATTTCCGAAGATAACACATGTATTCTTGAAAATATTCATGCATATTCTTCCTTAAAATTTTCAGATATTTTACATTAATAGCGTACAAAATTGTCTGAAATTTTTGGAAAATAATACTCACAATTTCCCCAGTAATTTCGGTTTTTATCGGAGGAAACTTGGCAACGTCTGGTGGCTCATACGGCGTTCTTCTTTAGCACGGCAGTGCTCTTGTCGATAACGACACTTAAAAAAGATTGTGTAACGGTACTGATAGGAAGCGAAACTTACTTGTGATATTGAGCTTGTAGGAAGTTGAATTCTTCTTTTATCCGATCGCATGATTCTCCGACTGTGAATTTGAAAGGCTGCCCCGGCTGCGGAGGTCCCTGAAAACAAAGATACGACAAAATCAGTAAACCTTAAGGGTCAAATATAAAACTCGAAATTGAAATAATCAAAGTTCAAATTTCCACTATTACGGCAGTGGAGAAAGGAGGTGGGACTATGAATTCAACCCTTGCTGACGCATGTTCTGAATTAAGGTAGGCAATGTGCATCACGGCCCATATCGAAGCGGGATCGAACGTTTGACAACCAGGAGAGCTGGTGGGAGCCTGGGGATCGAAGCTCGTTTGTAGTTGACAAGATGATCTCTCGTCTCTCCTCCGCTCGCCGCAAAACACACAGTTGCCCTTAATGCCTTTCGGTGATGCTGAATCTACTCAAAATGCCTCAACAGGGAAGCGCTTGGCCACTTTAGGGATGACGATTTCACGTCAATTGTTACGAGATATCAGTTTTTTAAGAGAACTACTCACAAAAAACACATAGATTTCTTGGGTTGAAAAATTAGACATCTTTTCATGATCCAATCCGTTCTGGTGAGGTAGTTAATTCACGTGGACTCTTATCTTTCTTCAGAGCGGAAAATTCAATTTTTTCAAGACCGGTGCTGAATAAAGGACGTAGACACATTGGCTAGGAGTTTTTTTCAGTAATTTCCACTGCACGAATCTCGTTGTTCGTGAAATTTTTAGGTGGAAACATAAATCAGAATTCTATAATTCGTGCCTTGTCTAAGTAGTGGTCATCGCATCGAACTTTATACAACCAAACCGTGCATCCAACAATACAAGGTTACCACCGAATCAAGAGAATATTCCCTGACATTTCCCTGAAAAATTTTGGTGAAATTCCTTGACAATTGAAGACATGCACGATGCTTAAAAAGACATGATTTGAAATAAGTTCAGGCAAAATTTGTTGTTCGAGAGGTCAAACCCGTTCTAGAGAGGAAATAAAGGTGAGTGGGCAATTTTCCCCTGACATTTTCGTCGTTTTCTCTGACTATGGCAATACTGACAATAGCAATTCTTCCAAGTTGGCAACCATTGGCTTCGTCCCCTAAAACGCACGTTAAACAATCGAAATCTATCGAGGCAGGTTGCCTCGCTCAGAATCGATTCATTATAATGGTTGTAAATGGAATAAAACCATTGTTGCCAACTTCTGGTAATCGCCCCTGGCATCGAAGTTCCTTACGGAATGATCCGATTGATCCCCCGAAGAAGCATCCATGGCCGAACCTCAGAGAAGTGAGGGGGGGGGGACGCGNGACGCGATTTCCCGACTAATTTCCGTGAGTTATGGCACCGGGGGCTCCGTGCCCGCCATTAACGAGGATTTATGGACTGATGAGCCCGCGCGAGGGCAGGACAAAAGTGGTGAGTTCAGGACGATAATAGTCGCGCGAAAACAAACAACAAACAAGGATCCGCGAGCAACAACCCAACCACCCCCCGACTACGGCTAGCGGATGAAAGTTGGCAGTAAACACCGAACAGGTGTCGCTGCTAAAATCATGTTCCCGTGTGCGCTGCTCAACAATTTATTACACTCGTTTATCTTCGTTCGAATCGCAACACCCCCCCCCTCCGTCCCGGCCGATGCACGCCTTATCATCGTCAATCGCAGCTTAATTAGCTATCACGCTTTGAAGACCCCTCCCCCGCATGCATATCTCTCCGGGCGCAGTTCGCTCTGGCTTCGAAATAACATGAGGTTGTGATCACTCTGCCGTAGAACTTCATTTCGGAGGTTCTGGTGGGCCCCCAGCCGGACGTATGTCACTTCTGACTCAAAGTTGAAAGGTTCTCGGGAGAAATTCTCTGAGTACAAAAGAATCAATGATTCACTCCAAAATGCATTTTTTCAAAAATGCCCATGAGGGCCAGTATGAGGCTGCGTACCACGATGCACATGAGTTCAAATTTTAAGGTACGCGGAAAAAACGCGATTAGGCTTAGCTGGGGCTTAGAATTGCTTAACCTCATATCCAATAGGCCGCCCCTATTGGGTATGAAGTGAAGCAATTTTAGCTACCCGGATCTTCCTCGCAGGTCCCAGCTCCGAAGTCGTTTTTCCGTGTACGGTCTGTCTGCAGTCCAGGGGAGATTGAAAAAATAAATCAGATATCCGCATTTTAAAGCCTTTTCAATCATTTCTGATGAAAAAAAGTAGAAATAAAAAAGGCGGTGGAGGGTTGACCCCTCTATAATATATTCCCTTAAAATGGCTTTAACGTAGACATAGGTATCAAAAAAGGTAAAAATATAGTGTTACTTATATCGTGTCATATGGACCGCGTTTAACAGAAAGGAACCAAGCCACATCAGCTATTGCCAAATTTAAGTGCGGGTAATTTAATTTTTTACAAGAGAACGCTTGGGCAGATTCCTTTAAAAACTTCGAGGAATTTGCTTCGTACTATGCAGAAAATTCATTGTGATTCGCACAGGAATTTGCTTCGTACTATGCAGAGAAATCATTGTAATTCGCACAACAATCCGCACAACCGTTTTCGCGTAAAAAATTAAATTACCCACTTAAATTTGGCAATAGCTGATGTGGCTTGGTTCCTTATGGATTAACGCGGTCCAAATAGTGGCCTCATTACGGTCTAAACAATCTATCCCCCAAGTTTCGACCATATTACATTTTGCAATTAGGAACCACTATCTCTGGCTCTTCTATAAAAGCACCTTTCTGCATAAGGAAACCAATGGCATATATGTTGTTTCTAAAATGAGCCGGAAATAGTGGTTCTAGGTATATTGCAAAACGTAATCCATTTGATTTTGAGTACCCTGTATATTGCCTCCGAAGGGAACGGGAAGGAGAGGGGCTTCAACAACGTGCGGCAGGAGGGGCGCTAAAGAGAAGGGGGGTTAGGACAGCAAGACTACCGAGAGAAATAAATTAAAAACCGAAGAGGGAGAGGAGGACGGGGGAGCAGCGTAGAAGAAGCTACCGGGACGGCAAGGCGAGCGGTCCGCGGGAGGAGGGAGGTGGATCGGGAGAAATTAATTAGAATAAAACGCTGGCCTTGTGTTTACTCAATTTATTCGCCGTACATGTTGGCGAGTCAATTAATAAAAAAGTGTAATTTTCACCGGTTAAATTGGAACGGGCAACGGCTGGTCTCTGGTCGGCTCGGGGAGCGGGGTCGCCGCTCCGTCGGATCCGGCCGCGTCCGTCGAGCACGAGCAGGCGAATTTTTTCGGTCATTCGGCATCGGCGCTCGAAACGGCAACGGGAAGAGTTAATTACCCGAGATTCCACCGACAACCGCCTCCCGCCCGCAGATGCAAGGTGTTAAAAATTAGCTTTAAACACAAGGTTGGTTTCACACCGAAATTATCGACCTCGCCGTTGCCGCTATGAGGGAAAAATAAACCGTTCTCCGCTCAGCCGAGACCCCGAGCAAACCGTTTCAGGTGCCGAATTTTGTCGGTCCTTCCACCGTACTTAAATATACTTAGGACGGTTCTCGACTGCACTTAAGATTGGCCGGTGGAGCGGTTTGGACTCACCGATGGATGTTGCACTCCGTGTGAAAAAGCCGACAAAATTCGGCCCCAGGAACGAAAGTTGCGAAAACTACTCCATATATCGATGGCGACGTGCAACAAATGCGTACCCGAAAATTTCGAAACCTTCGCTTATGTTTCATTTTCTTTCGCGAAAACTTAGCATAGGTAATGTTTCCTTACGATTGTGTCTGTTTTTTAGATTGATTCCAGATAGCTCATACATAACAAAAAATATATAGTACTATTGGTAACTTATCCTCTAAAAAATGAAAAATAGAGCGGAGATTTACAACGTTGCAATCTGTGATACGCGTTTACCGACTTTAGACATCATTTTGATTTTTGATTAATTAAATCTGCGGCCGAAAATTCAAAAGAGAATCCTAAAATCTTCACATTCATTCATTCGGTCCTTACAGGGGTGATCACTTGATCAGGGTGCCTGCTGGGACCACATCATGACCAATCCTATAGCTTTTTTATTGCCTTTCCCTTGCTCCATCCATAATTTGGCAAGGATTTCTTGAAGAGGTCTCCTGAACTTTCTGTTTTTTCTACATCTTTCTCTTCTTTTTTCATTATAACTTATTCGACACGTACCTAGAGGTCTAGTTATGAAAAGAACATGTGTACATTAACATGATGACTATTGAGACCTCATAACAGAAAATCCTTGCTTCTTCACTGGCTAAATTTTTAATTTCTCGAAAATTCGTCTTCTGAGCTCTCTAAAATTCTTCCTTTTTTACTATCTTCTTCTCGCTTTTTGTATGCAGTTCGGGACTTCTTAATTCAGAAGACAGAATTTTTCCTCAAGCATAAAAAATCATTTATCGCAAATAGTTCAAAAATTTCATTCGAAATACGGATTGTTGAAATGATTCAACACATGTACGATGAAAATACAATTTTGTAAGAACATGATCCATCATGCAATAAATTACTAGGAGAAATTGCAAAATCTAATCTTCAGATCTTGCATTATTTGTTTCTTCCCAAAACAGTCTAAAATATAAGGGCAATTTAAAATATGCGCAACGCTAGGAAAAAATGAATTTAGGAAAATGTGATAATTAGTATTAGTATTCCTGCGTATGAAAACCTAAAGTGGTGCTCGGGGGGTTTCATCCACTTGTTACTATGTATCCTGAGCTCTATCTTGGTACTTTAATCTCTCAAAAATTGGCGAGTAATGTCTAAGCTGTTCTGTGGTACTTGATCACCTAAAAACTCCAAACAAGCCGAGTCTCTCCGTCGGTCATTAAAGGAAGAAGAAAAAGGAAAAAGAATAATGAAGTCGTAAATTGGTCGTAAAACCGCATTTCTACGCTCTGACGACCAGGCTGAAACGCTCCATTAAAACCACGTACTTAAAGGTAAGAGGTGTGATTAAGTTTCGCTGTTCACCTTGCTTCTGTTATTCGACCTTCAAAAAAAAACCAGAGAGCGTGTCCACGGGGAAACCAATGAGAGAAATGGGGCATCAACTTTAAGCGCAATCCGTCAACAACGGA